CATCTGAGAGTGGTTTATGTTGCCTTAATAATTAGCCAGAGAAGACAACAATTCTGATTTAACCCTGAAAGGCTAAGTGAGGGTTGCTAAGGAGAGCAATCTGCAATGAATCAAATGATGAAAGACCACCCCAGTACAAAGCAATTCAATCCCAAAAGCCAGTAGTCTCCCAGAGCCATTTCAGGTGCCAGTGTTAACTCCAAGAAGACTGCAAGCTGCAAATAAAACTTGGGCTGGGTGACCTGGGGTTTGGCTTCAGCCTGCATTGCCTTTCCCAGCAGCCTGGAAGGCAAATAACCTTTGTTTCATGTTCAGGTTTGCGGGGAAGCAAGACTATTCTGTAGCTAACCCCATCTCAGCCATTCCTGGGCTATGGACCTACATGTTCTGGGGCAAATCTCATTATGACCTTGACAGCTTTTCTAATAAGCTTAGAACTTACCTTAAATTGAGAGACCTTATGCAGATTAAGCTGTATGAAGACTCCTACAGTAGCATTACATCATTTTTAGACTCCAGTTGCCTTTTTTGGGGAATTTAGTAACAGCCTGAGTTATTCTCTAAATACACAACAAGCGACTCTAGACCTTTTTCTTTTGGAGTGAGTAGGACAAAAGATAGGTAAGGGTAGTCTGGGGTTTGAAAAAAAGTTCTTAGTCTGTACTAAATTATGGAGATCCTTTTGTACATTTATTGCATTACCTTTGTAAGTCTGGAGGGACAGTGCAAAGAGCAGTCCTATTTCAGGTCACTGTAAGTCAATCTCCCCACTCCATTTTAACAGCAGTGTTTCATGTATGGAGTACTATTGTGTAATTTTGTTATTTGGGTTCTTCTATTATTTAGCATTCAGCCCTGTGAAAACTTACAGTAGTGCCATGTGATGCTGCTAGTTTAAGCATGTATTCTTCCAATCTACCATGAAAAACAATGCATGCTAAAAAACCCCATTCCAAGAAAGAAGGGCACACACTAAGCACAAACATCTCATGGTAAGAATGCTGCATAGGCAGCAAAAAGCAGCAGCTGGTTGGCATTTGGTAACCACATAATTTGGATCAACAAATCCTATGGTATGCTGTTTCCTTTGCTGCTAAACCCGTAATTTACAGCAACAATTCTTTTTGAACTGCTTCAAAAGCTGCACTAACAATACCATGCTTTTTACAAAAAAAAAAAAAAAAAAAAAGAAACCTAACTTTTTCTAATAACAGAAGAATTAAGGGTATGTGTTTCATATTTATAAAGTATTTTACAGGGGCTAAACAAATTCTCTATATATAATACTATTAAAAATAGCCAAGTCATCCATAATTTAAGAAAATGTAATTTTTACTAGGTGTCAAAGCTGTTTAGCATTTCATATTTTGAAGCGCTTCTCTCAAAGCACTCTACAGTTTATTTAAGCAAACAAGATGCAAGGTCACATCTCAAATGCTTTACATCCTGACAACCTTAGAAACATTAAGATCAAAGAAAGATAACCTTAGACTAATTTAAGAGTCACTGCAACTCTTCTACACCCTACAACAGTTTGGACAACGCAGCTTGTGAAGGAAGTTGTTCAGCTTAAACTAACATGACAGACGTAGTTCAGTAAACTGCGTATGCATTTGCAAAAGTAACATTGATGATTCCTAGTAACCACTTGCTCTTTTCAGACAGTTCCATACAATTAGAAGATCTGCTTTTATCTTAAACTTTCCCTCAAAAAATTGTCTCAAATCTTAAAATTGCTACTGCAGAAATATAAATATTAAAAATAACTTAGTCCTCAGCTGCAGTAAGAGCTGAATTGTAAATGGATGACTTACTGAGGAATAAACCTGTGCCTTTCTTAGATCAGATGAAAAGTCTATTGGCTGTGTAGGAGGGAAGGACTCTTACCAAAAGACTCTCCTGTTCTGTGTGCTCTTCAATGGCCTTCATTGCGGTTCATCCAAAGACTTCCTAAGTTTTACATACATTGATGAATATTAAGCTTTTTAAGAGAGTTATAATTCAGTCTATTAATATGCAAATGGTAGTCTAAGCCTGCAGCACACTGACTTTAACTTGACAAAGAACAAAAATATCCTCCTTTTTGAAATGCTAAGCACACACCAATTCCTATAGGTAGGTACATTGCTGCAAATGCTATGATGAGAAATCCTTTAAACATTTCTAACCAATAATAGGGAAGCAAAATAATTGTAATTAATTCTTTATTATGTATTTTTATTAAGTATTGTTATTTGGGGCATGCATAATAACACTGCAACAATTATATCTATCACAGCATTACAATAGAAACTATCTGAAACCTTGAATTTTTGCATTTTGTGAACAGTGTTTACTGCTACTGCAGTCTTGGGATTCAAACCGATTCTCCCTGATAAGTCAGGCTGATAAAGCAATCCACCTCCAAAAATGACCAGGCAAGATTTTGGCACAAACTGCAGTCTTAGCTGCAAGTTACATTACACCAGGGGATGTCACCAGTGAAGACACAATACCAAAATTTGTGCTGCAACTTGAATTATACCTGGAAAAGGAATAAAGTAATTAATCATCCAGCAATTATTTAGAAGCAAGACAGTAAATAACACAGATATAATTATCATTTATAATCTTATCTGTTGTTATGACTGGAAAAAGAGGCAAGAATATCTTCTTTTCCTATACAGAATCAGTCATACTAATAGCAAAGAGCATCATTTAAAACCAGAAACACATTGGAATGCCAATGCGTAAACCAAAGATTGTCTGGGACAGGCCACGCTAGATGACTGATTTGTGACAGTTCAAGAAGCTGCCATTCTTTGCTATCCATTCTGCTCATTTATTTGGGGTGAATGCCATAGTAACAGAATGGAGCGTGTGCTCAAGCCTCAGCTATTCCATTTTCAGCTGAACACGAGAATTCCCACGAAAACGGATAAAAGGGGATACCCGCATGTGTCTGCCAACACTGCTGCAACAACGGCAACATGCAATAGAGAAGGGATAAACAGTGTGAAGCAGCTACCACTGCAGCAGTTCTTCCCATGAACTGGCACCCCTGTGAGCATGAATGGAGACTCAGCCTTTCAGAAGAGGTGTTAAGCAGCACCACAAAACATGTAAGAGGTAACAGCCTTTCCATTTTCAACAATGTGTAAGGTAAGAACAAAGTTCCACTCTTGCCTCGGAACTGCACTGGTAGAAGTGCAGACCCACAACTGCCAGACTGACATCTCATCTAATCAAACACATACATCTAATCTAATGCGTAAGTGCATTAGAATCTAATGTATAAACACAATGTTATTGTTTTAGGAAAGTGCCTGTTATCCTGAGCCATTATATAATTCATTCATAACTCCTTCTTTGCACAGACTAAAAGCTGTAGAAGACATGAGAAGAACATATACGCATATTTACTCAGGATGAAAAGATGATTTTGTACTACTAAGTCACAATTCTTTCTAAATAGATGGAGTACATTTCTAGTCTTGCCTGTAGTATGAAAGTAGTGTTCCAGGATTAATACAGATTCATATGAAAACTAAGGAGAAATACACAATGGGGTTAACTAACATGTGGCATCCTGCACCTCCTGAAATTTAAGTCAGACTTATTTATGCGAAGTACTGAAGTACAAGTCCTTAAGGATGAAAAACTATTTATGCAGATAACTAGTATAAGACTGACACAGCAATATGAGCATTCTGCACTGGTCTCACTAGGCTGACTTAAAGATAGGTTGAATTCTGTGGCAATGTTAATCCTTCTGTTTGGCAGATTCCCAAATTCCTCTACAATTTCAATGCAGAGGGCTCCTCTTCAATAGGGTATTAAATAAACTTTCTTATTTACAGTATGTAGTTCACAGAACACAAGGAATGATAATGTTCGCTACAGAGAGAAATTTATAAAAGAACAAGAATGTAAATGTTTCCATTATACCTTTACATCTCAAAACTGTGTGATTATTAATATAAATTCAAGCCTTTAAACAAAAATACAGTAGCATATATCATGAGAAATCAAAAACCCTTCCTCAGTTTAGAATCAGGATGGTATGGAAAGGCATCGCCAAACAATGCTGTATTTGAAACAGCAGATCTTGCTGAAAAGCCGTCTCCCAACTGAGAATCATTGATATAGTTAATTGTCTTGAGTCTTTTTTTTATCCTTCTACCAAAGGCACCCTTTCCCTCCAAATACAGTTTTATTTGCAACAGTAAACATATATAAAGTTCTCATCAGTTAAAAACCTGCTGTAACGTAGAAGTGTTATTTTTCATGCTCTTAAAAGCCCTTGAACATGCAGTGGAAAATGAATGCCACAACTGGGTCACATCAAGTAAAAATAATTTTGGAAAAATATTTTTCATTGCAAAACATTGCTGCTGTTTACAGAACTGACTACAACTTCATTTCTCTATGAGGTCTTATTCTAAGCAGAGGCAAGAGGCAGTAAAAATTAGTAGATGACAGGAGAAGATGAAGTGTAAAACCCATGCCTGACAGCTCGACCTTAAACATGAAGAATACAGAATCACAGAATAATTATTCAGGCTGGAAGAGACCTCAGGAAGTTACAGCCCGATCTCCTTCTCACCATAGGGTTAATACTGGATTGAGACCAGGCAAAAGATGTTTAAACCAAAATGCAGTTTCCTTCTTAAAGCATTTGAGTTGGGTATGTTATTAATGTGCCCACATTAAAGTGAACTCTTTTATCAACATGCATATTGAACAAGAAAAATTGAGCAACTGGGTAGCTGAACATACATACAGCGTACACAACTAACCACTTTTTGCAGTCATGTACACTTAAAAAAACCTCTCTTCATATTAAAACATGCCTATTTTATGGGAAAGAGTTTTATACAAGTGTATAGGTCTTGTAAGCACAGGCTGCATTCGTCACTGTGCAAAATTCCTGAACTGTGAACAGACATAGTATATTTTCACTTAGTACTGTGGCAAAACCATATAATATAATCCTCAGAAGCAAGAAACAAGTGCAACAATTCATACATCACTTTTTCATTTTTAATTTAGTAATTATTGAATGGTTCCAGAGCAGGCACTACATTACTTCAAACACAATCAAGTATCTTTGAAATAATGTTGAAAAATAACCTCTTCACCTCAGGATACACACACGCATATACACACACATACACAAATTAATTTAGAAAATCTGTACATGTGTATTTTTCGGGAAGCAACTCAAAGAACCGTACCACAAAGAATTAGTTTCTGTACTCTGACACACCACAAATTATAATTCATTTTTCTGTAGATAGGGTTTAAGGACACAAAATGCCATGCAGTGCTATTTAGTAGAAAATGAACCGGTAAATAAATTTATCTATTTAGTGTTAAAAGAAAACACAGAATTCCTTAAACAAAACAAATGCCAGTTTACCAGAAATCAGAAATATTTATTGTCCTTGAGCTAGGCAGGCCCCAGTTATTTGTGTTTCCTTAAGCCTATCCCCTTGGTAGACAACAGTGAGGAAGTATTTGACTATGAAAATCTGGGAAATTAATTTCCTATTACTGGCTGCAAAGATGGTTCAAGAAAGGAGTATCCTTGTTGAATCTGAGTCTGAAAGTCCATCTTCTTGATTAGTTGCCTCATAATCACCTGCATTATCAGCTAATTCAATGTCTTGATCATCATTACTCTCTGCGCTGTAATCAACTTCTTCAAGAAAGCGAGGTTCATCTTCATCCAAAACATATGTAGTGGGGCTATAATGAACAAGAAGTTACATGAATTATGTTAAAAGTTTTGCTTGAAACAATACATTCAGAACATGCCCTGTCCCTATCCTGACATACAATAATCCAAAAATTACCTCAGGAAAGGGGCTGTTTACCCGAAATAGTATCAATTTTTTAATTGCACATAAAACAACTGGGAGCCAAAACCATGTTTGTAAGACCCTGAACTAATTAGTCAGTCATACACAACTCATTATCCAAATGTGCCATGACAAACAAGCTACACATCACAGACTTAAACTAATGGCCTCTAAGACCTTCATATAATTATAGCACTATCAGAGGTTATTGCAGAAGGATACAACTACATAAAGAAACAGAAGTTGCTATAAGGTATAAACAAACTAAAAAACAGATGAGACACTAAAAATTCAATTGGGAAACCTCTGTATTTTATTAGAACACACATTTTGCTGAAAAGCATTGTGAGCAATTACACAGTACATATCAGAGATGACAAAACAAGGAGTCATGTTTATGCTTAGAATTAAGTTACCATATGAATCACTTAACTCATATCAGGTCCTCACACACTTGCACGTAGTTAAAATTTGTATGTTAAGCCTTGCTGTTCAAAAGGCAGTGGATTTAAGGAACTAAGCCACTGCCCACAGAATGGTCTATGCCCTTATCTAATGGCCTCCAAGAATAAGAGGACTAACACCTTTAGTGTTAACTGGAGAAAGGTTAAAAGACAACTTTCTGATCCTCCCACCTCCCTAGGACAGAGGAGAGAAAAAAAACCCACCACCAAAACAAAAAGTGTTTTCCAGTTTTCCTAACCCACCCTGGGACATAAAAAGCTATCTGCTTAAAAGCACTAAGTATTCCTAAATATTTCATAAGTAATTTTATATTCAGATGAAGTCCTACAAAGGTTTTGTAATGCATTTTACCTAATAATCAAGTCACACAAAACTAATACAAAACAGTGAGAATGTTCTTACTGAGAAAGATCACAGGGTACTTGTAGAAATGTTTGCATATTAATTTTGATGAATTTTGTTGTCTTACAGCACACAACAGCCTAGCTTGGCTGTGGCTTTATAATTAAAAGGATTAATCACTGCTTTCTAAAGGTCTCTTAGGAGCTTAAGTGAACCACCTGAAATCTGCAATGCAATCTCTATTCAATATAAATAAATGTCACAGTATTCTTCTTCTACCTGTAGCCTCAATGACACGCTACACTGTCATGTTTTGTACTGTTGACAGTTCAATTTAAATATTGGGAGAACAACAAATGACAAGAATTGTTAATCCTTGCTTAAGGAAAAAAGGACAGAAGACCTAAAATAGTAAGAAAATAAATTATCAAAAATTCAGTTTAGCTACAGTCTCTGGATTTACATTTAAAACAATCTGTATCATGGTTCACTAAACAAGCTCATACTCATTAAGCCATGCAAAAAGGAATGCTCCACAAAACTAAATACTTTTAGAGATTATTTAAGCCATAACCAGGGGAACAACCCACTATGTTGGTTTATGAACTAGGTGTTTAAAACAAAATTGTTTCCATTTAGGAGACACAAAGAGTGAGGAAAATAACTACTATCTTTGCTAAGATGCCTTTTTCATTTTACAGGTAGGTAAGCCAACATACCATAAGGATACACGCCTTACATGAAAAACCTGTGGTAGAACCAGCAAAGGAATGTAATTTTTCTGTGCTTTTGTCCTGTGACGCTTTCCATCCTAGGAAGTCACTACCTATCAACACTTCTTCTAAGGAAAAAAAAGTTGGGGGGGGGGGGAGTTTGTTTCATTTGTTTGCAGAACAAAATGAAAGGAACTTCACCACATAGATCACATTCCAACCAGTGCACAGTTTTTTTGCAACTTCTGCTTCTAATCACTTAACACAGATAATGATTTGTTAGCTTTTGTATGCAAGGGATCCACACTGCAATTGCAGGATAGACTGTGTAATTCAATTCACAGGAAATGGAGCCATTAAATCTGAATGTTGGCCCAATATTAACTAATAATTCTGAATACTGAAACAGAAAACTACAATGAACTATGTCAATGACATATTTTACTAACCACTGACAATGGGATGTTAACACATTACAGCAGGCACTTATAAAAATTCATGTTAGTGAGGTATAACGTAGAATAATAAAGCTCTTAAAAAATTCTATCCACTCTTTTTAATAAGTGTCATTATTTGGAAATTAAACTCACATAGTTAATCCAATTAAAAAAAGCAACCAACAAAACCTATTTTAAGGAAAAAAACACAAAACTGGACACACAAGCAAACCACCTCTTAGTTCACCTCTTAGAAGTGGCTTGTCATTTCATATAATATGTCCTATTTTATATTGTCTTGAAAAACACACAGGTATATGTATTCAATATCTATTTTTGTTATATTTGTATATATGTATTTTACTTATTTAGGTATGTGTAAGCATGTAGGCATGCCCCTAACTTCTAGAAGTTCAGCCACTGTGCAGTCTTCAGGTCAGTGTGTCTGATGTAACACATTTGCTCTGGCATGTGTATGTTCAAAATTCTCATCCGAAACTGAGGGATGCTTTTCATTGACATTTCCCATTTAATAAAATCAACATTATAAATTACTTTATTAAAAAAAAGTACCATTAGAATAGATGAACAGATCTTATTTTCAAAGGTACACAAACTTTTAACGTAAAAACTGGCTCTGAAGTCTGCCTCATAACAATCTTAGCTTTCTACTTACCATCCAGGCCAATGCACCATGGCTTCTCAATCACTTATTACTGAAAATAAATATTATGATTGTATTTACTAAGATTATTTTTTCACTTTCCCTTTCTTGAGTCTTCATTCCTCACAAAATGGTATCTGAGTTCAAAGGAAAACATTCAAAGGAAAAACCCGTGTCACATACCACTCACATACATTTGCTTTGCCCATGGCATGTTTTCTTCTGATGTAGCAAATGTTAATCTTGGATATTTAACTTTTCAGCAATCTTATTCTAAAGGTAAGCATGAATCTGCAAAATGTAATTACTACTCTGCTGTTTTACTGAGGCTGGGTCACAAGAAATGTAGAAACCAAAACACCTGAAAAAATTTCTTGCTGTTTAATCAAATTCTTTATTTGCCTCCCTGCCGCTCCCCACCCTTGGCATATCTTGTGACAATATATTTTTAGCTGCTGTCATGCTGATTCTATGGGTTTTAATTTCCTAACTTTTCCCTTGGGCTTTTTCTAATTAACTTGCTCAATAATCCCTCTTCCTCTACCCCCACACCTCCCGCTTTTCCTTTTAAAAGGAAACCATTATTTTTCTCAGGTTAGCAAAGGTTGTTTATCACACAACTACAGTTCTGTAACGTAAGGGATAGCATAATCTGTGTATCTTCTTTGAAGTCATGGCAGTTAAAAGAGAATACTACATGAAAACCTGAAGTTTTGCAGATTTTACTTAAACAATATTTTATGGGTAAAAAGATGAACTCCGAAGTACCTGATACAATACTGTGGTCTTCATGTTTATGAAGAACTTTAAGGATATCCCTTTCATTTAAAAAAAAATATTTTCTACATCACTTGCCATTGCATACACTGAATTTAGGAATGAATGCAACTTTTTTCTAAAACATATTTTAATTATTATTTTTTTAATGACAACACCTTCCTATGTTTTTTCTTATTTACATTAATGCTCCAAACATATTAAAAAATCAACCTATCCACTAACATAGTATATTTTTTCAAACTAAAATTTTATTTGTCCCTCAAAAGATATACTTGGATGTTTTATTATCCACATGACTCAATTACAGCGAAATTAATCCACAAGTCAGACACAACCATTACCAATTTCAGCCCCATGGAGATCAGCAGTTTTCTGAGACTACAGGGGAAGTGTATACATGTTAAAACTTCGGAAGAAAAAAATAAGAAATATTCCCTGCCAAACTATGGAGAATTGCAGCTACTTGGGGAGTTGGGAAAGGAAGGAGAGAAAGATCTGAAGAACTAATGATTCTTTTCAAAACTGCATTGCCAGGGGAGGGAAAATTTTAGCGGAGAAAGAGTCAGGAGATATCACAAAGGAATCGTTTCTCCATACTTTTCCTTTTAATTTCCCTTTAGGGTCTATATTCTCTTCTAGGGATCAGCAATGCTGCTACAGTAGGCAACATCACACATGCAGCTACATGCAGTTCCCTTCAGGACCTCTTCACGTATGTGTTTTTCCCAAGTAGTAAGGATATTTCCTCAAGGGAATTTCCAAGGCTAAAGAGAACATGTCTCACTCTTTTCTGAGCCCTAAGAAGCTGGGTATCCAAATCCCATTTAAGTCTTGTTTTTAAATATCCTCAGAGTTACTAAATTTCACTCCACAGCTTAATAAAAATTAATCTCAACATTTTCTTTGTGCTGTCACCCTGAAATACATTTTGTGAAACTAAAAACTGGATTAAATTAGTTGGATTCAACAATCATTGACTAATATTTGGATCATACTACCAGGAGTGGAAGAAAAGCTTGAAAAATGGTATGAAGAATATAACCTATTCATCATAGTTTTTTGGTTTGGTTTTTTTTTCCCTAGATTACTAGTTTCCTTATTTTGCCCTAGAGAAGATGAACAGTACTCTGACACTACAGTCTATGAAGAATTAAAAGCAATCACTTTCACTTAGGCCAGAGGAGCATCTTTGTGCACGGGCACTGCCACCAGGCCCACCAGTGAAATTCTGGGTGTCATCTTTCATAGCTTTTTCTTCCAGCCTTCTGAAAGGCACAGACAGGACAAGAGTTGCAGCATAAGATGCCTTCTTTTTAACTAAGTTGTACTCCTAAGGTACTGGAAGAAAGGCCAAGAAAAGCTCAAATGCTGCAGGAGAGTGGGGAGGGAAACACTTTTACTCCCAGGTGATAGAGATTAGGAGTATGCAATTGTCTGGGCAAAGTTTAAGAGTTATTGAGGGGAAGGGAAATAAAGTAGGACAAAT